TTTATGCAAATGAAGCCCGGGAAATTCAAATCCCGGGCTTCATTTGCACTGAGGGTATGTCTACACTACCCTCCTAGTTCGAACTAGGAGGGTAGTGTAGACATACCCTTTGTGACTATCTCATTCTCTAACATGGGTTAGAGAATACAGTCTGGCTCTTCATATGCTCTGTAGCCCATCTTCTGGATTATAAATGCTGTTAAAGAAAACTAGTTTTAGATTAATTCCCTAGGCTATTTCAATTAGACACCAGCCCACAAGTCAGAAAGTTGCAATTTACCAACTACCCGTTGTGTAGCAAGTTTTCAGGGCACAAGACAATACTAACTACTAAACCAGGTTGAATTATTAAGATTTCAAGTAAGCATTCATATGTTACAGTAATAAAAAAAATAATGAGGCATTATATCTAATGCTTTCCTTCTCTGATATCTACAGCATTTCCTTCATCTACAAATCAGGAGTAAAATTGTGTATATGCTATACAAATGAACTTTAAAATCTTGAACTTCCTGCACATTTAAAATTATATATTTTCTTTGGAATTAGTGCAATTCATTACAAATAAACACAGCTTGAGTGAGAAAGACTCCTGTACTCTGTAACTAACCAAAATGTGGTGCTGGTAGCTGTTTTGTGGGTATGTGTCCACTCCTGAATATACAGTTGCACAGAGTACACCAGGGCCTTGCAACATCATGGCCTTTATACAATGGAGGTCAAAACTAAAGGTGTCTTCTGAAATTAGCAGCTTGCACAGTTCCTTCAGGCAGTACTTAGGGTCAGTTCTCCCCTCCCCTATGTGAATGCATGTGAGGCACTGTGGCTGGTTTTATGAGTTGCAAAGCAATTGGATTGACTGAGTGTTGAAGGGCAGAGGGTCAACTGTCAAGCCCTTAGTCTGCTGCTGGCCAACTGGCAGCCCCTGGGATTCAGGGAGCCTGTGGGAAAGTATGTGTGGCCCATAATGATTCAGGACTTTGCATCCTTCGCCCCAGCTGCAACCATTTCCCCTCCCTTTAGCCGGTCTCCTCCTTCCATGAAGGAGTTTAAAACCAGTATGGCATACTCCTTATGGTTAAAGCAGCATAGCTTTCTAGTGTTGACAAGGCATTGAGAAGTGTCTGTGAACAGATCTCAGTTTCTCTACTGACAATTATTCATTGTCTAAAGTGATTTGAGAGCCAGTTTAAGCCAACTCACTTCAGCCTCTGGAGCACCCCTCAGCTACTTACCCCAGCTGTTGCTTCAGACAATTCCTCTACTTATTTGACTATTCACTTTTTGTGATTGGTCACTTTAGCTCACATGACTTGGGGTCTCCTTTCTCATTGGTTGTCTGAAACCCAAGATGGATCCCTGAACACTTCCAGTGCATACACTCATGGGACACACCTTTGCACAACAGGCATTCACACGTATCTCTTTGTGAGAATCATGCTGCTTTCCCTTTACTCAAGGTCTTGAAAGGCCCAAAGAATAAAAATTCCCATGTACCAGTGTTTGTGGAAAGTGGGTTAAAATGGATGTGTGAATGAATGAAGTGTTTATTGAATGGCTGCTTAGAGTTTTCAGTTATCACCCATCCATGGTCTGTGATGCTTCTGGCAGGGGTGGCCTTACCATGAGGCAAACTGAGGTGGTCGCCTCAGGTGCCAGACTGTAGAGGGGCGCCACTAGGACCCAGAGAATTGAGACTTTTCAAAGTTTTGGCCCAAGCGAGGCCATGTTCTTATGACATGAGAGCATCATTTGAGCTCCCCGCCTCAGGTGCCAAAATGTTGTGGGCCGCCCCTGTCTTATGGAATCTTCATCACTAGAGATTTTTAAGAGCAGGTTAGACAAACACTTATCATGGATGGTCTAGCTAATACTTAGTCCTGGGTTGAGTGCAGGGGACATAACTAGAAGACCTATCAAGGCCCCGTTCAGTCCTACAAGTCTATGAGTTAACTTTTGCGTGCCTCCGTAATGCCTTTCTCAATGGTGTATGTTTGGTAAAGTTAATGGATTTAATACTGGTACAGCACTTTGAGCTCTTTGAATGTAATACTTTTGTATTAATAGAAATACAATATGTAACAATTATTATTCAAGTCAATGGGAATACTTCTGTGCTTAAGGTTAAGCATGTGTTTAAATGCTTTGCAGAATCAGGCCCAAGAGAGGTGGAAACCAATTGCCTTTGCTGAGATATATAAGGAACTGACAAACTACAACTTACTTAATAATATGCAATGCATATTTCATTCAATGAATTTAGCCTTTCCTTAACTGCGGAATATATCTTTGAGCAAATCATGTTTCCCATACATTTATTTTGTTAGTTAATATTTGCACAGTTTTTTCAAAGTTTTCTAAATCTTTGGCTTTACCATGAACAGGATTTTTTTGGAGGTGCCTTGTTTGCTATTCAAGCTGTACTGGTTAGCTGTGAATGGCCAGATAAGTCTCATGAAGTTGTTTCTGTTCTCTGAATGGATATGTGCTTGAAAACTTGTAGGGTGTGAGTTTCAAAAGTGCTCAGCATTGACCTTACATTGCTCCCATTGGTACCAAAGGGACCAGAGTCAGGCAAATACTAAGTGCTTTGAAGTGCATCAGACCCAGCATGAACTAGCATTACACATGTAATTCCATGACCACAGACACTTGCAAAAGTTTTTTTTATTTGTTTATGCAAATATTTGTGCAGGTAAAACTCAAACTCTGTAGCATTCATAGAAAACAGACAGATATAATTAAGAAAAAATAATTCATTACAATATTTTAGTGAATATTTATAAAACTTTTGTGCAATATGGCTTTTTTTTTTTCCAGAGGGCACCTCAACCACCACCATGAAAGGGACAATTCTCCAAACAAGCCTTGGATCTATAGACCCCTGGGCTGCCTTCCACCAGTAAGACTTGCACAGATTCTGAAGAGATCAGCTATTTTCTCTGTCTTTTCTCTGATTGATTATAACAACAGAATCCAGATTATCCAGTTAATAAATGAATGACATCAGGGAACAAAATAGCCATTCTATCCTTTTCGTAAGTAGGTAGCAAAACTGCCAATCTGTTGGGAAACGGTAATAAAATAAGTAATCTTAAAATAAATGAATTGCCTATTTTTTTAATTATCTATGTAGTAGTAGAGCTTAGGAAACCTAGTCAAGAACTTGGACTGCAAAATGCTAGGTGCTATACTCAGACAGAACAAAGACAATCCCTACCCCAGACAGATTGCAATCTAAGTTGTGTGTTCCCTGGCTTAGAGTCTTATTCCATTTCCTTGTTCCCCTTTTCTCTCCTCTTTCTGAACTGTTGGAGCCATCTCTCCATGACTTTTCATTTAAATGCAAGTAGCCACTTAGCACTTGGTGGTTTGAAGATAGGGTGACCATATTTCCCTGTGCTCCCTCTGCACAAGGCTGTTGCCTGGTCACTAGAACCCTGCCAGCTACCCCTTCATCCCCATACAATACTGGAATGCTATATCCCCCCCTCAGCTCTGCCACCTTCCCTCCCTCTTCTCCTTCCCCCCACTCCCCCATGGGGCTGGCATCTCTGCTCCCTCCCTTGCATATTCTTTTACACCCCACTTTTTTGACAAAAGTGGGCATTTGTCCCATGGGCACTGGGCACGGACTGAGGCAGCCTGGGGGAAATTATGGTCATACTGAAGTAATGGAAGTTTTGTTCTTGACTTCAGTGAGGCTAGGATTTCATCCCTGCCTTACTTAGCTCTGCCTGTGTTACCTTAGGCAAGTCACCTCTCATTCTTCTGCTTCTGTTTATCCTCCTACCCTCTGCTTGTCCATTTAGGCAAGCTCCTCTCTGTGTGGGTGTATGGAGATTAGCACAATGAGGCTGCTGATTTCAATTGCAGTATAATAATAATTATTATAATCTCTCTACCTGGACCTGTGAATCATCCTGGAGTTCCCCCAATAACTGAAAGGCACATGGGTTTTCCAGAAGCCCCCCAAAAGCCACCCAGGTTGATCAAAGAGTAATTAGGGATTTTCCAGAAGAGACAATATGAAGAGTTTTCAGCCCCTACTGATCAGTTTACAGTGCCAGGGCTAACCCCACAACAGAAATAGCTGGTAAATTACAGGGTTTCTTTTGAAGTTAAGCCACAACATGTATATAATCTCAAAAATTAGGGAACCCCCAAAGCTATACGCTCCAGTGGGTGGATCTCTGATCAGAGAACAAAATGTTAGAGGGATCACTGAGGACTCTGCTCATCCATGGGAGGAGGCATGGATTGCACGCATAGGTTCAGGCCTACCTCAGGCTGCTCCGTGGGCTGCCGTATGCACAAGGAGAGTTAGGTAACAGTTCTTTTGATCCTTTGGTGCATTCAGTTCCAGAAACAGCATTTGCAATTGCACTAGGTAGTTTCCCAGAGAGATGAAACGCGGCTGTGCATGTACCATTTAGATCAGTTGTATGTGGGGCCTTTCAAATACCATTGAGTCAAGTACTGAAAGCTTTGTTGAGAAGGAGACTGTGAAGCTGGATCTCCCTTGGCCAATGATAAACAGGATAATCCTAAAATAATGAGAATAACTCTAGGCCTGTGGTTCTCAACTGGTGGTCCATGGACTGGTGGACCTTTTCAGTGGTCCACAGGAACATTGTCTAAAGTCACACGGCACGAGCAGGTGCCGCTGTAAGTCTGTTTTACGTTGTGTTCACAAGCACACGGTGCATCATCCATAGCGTCACCTAGGATGCAACTGTGTTGTGTTGCCAGTAACTTCCGTCTGAGGCTCTAAGTGTCAATGTAGCTGCCGCCATCGTGCTGAGTGGTTGCTGTGTTGTTCGTCCTGTGCTACACGTGCTGGAAGTGGTCCACGAAAAATTTTTGATCTGCCTGGTGGTCTGTGGACTGAAACAAGTTCAGAACCACTGCTCTAGGCCCTGAAGTGGATTCAAGAAGGAGAATCTCATCTCCACTGGAACAGGCTCCAGGAGCTCAGAGAAAGAAAGTTACATCACCATAACTATGGTAACGGCCTGTTGGAGTGTGAGGATCCAAAGCCCACTGAGGTAAATGAGAGTTTTTCATTGACTTCAGTGGGCTTTGGATGAAGCCCCTGTTATGTAAAGCATGGCTAAATAATGACAGGAAGACTGATGTACACATATTTAACAAATATAAGCAACACTAAGGGGTAAGGCGAGGAATAATATAATGAAAGTAAGCAAAGGAAAGATTAAGCTGAACATAATTTCAGGTCTTTCAGACTGGAGTACATACTCAAAGGAAGCACCGTCCTTTGGACCAATCCCAATGAAACTTGATAAAGCATTAAAAAGAGCAGCAATCCATTCTGTTCTCCAAGGATGGGGGATCCTATAAATGTCCTAAGAGACTTTTTCCATCCCTAATTTCTTTCTCCTTATCTGATGGATACTTATATTAGGCATGTACAGTCCTACTGCACTAATACTGGGAACTTTGATAAAATCAGGAATGACTTCAGTAAAGTCAGAAAAGGTTTAAAAATTGAGTTCTAGATCCTAAGTCAGCTTAGGTGATCTCTGAAGTCCTTCTTGTGCCCAGTGCAAGCACGGAAAGGAGCTGGCTGACATGATGGAGAAAGTGGTCAGGGTGTCAAAAGATTGATGTTTGGATTAGAGGAGCACTAAAAAAATCTGTGGTGATGAGAAGTGACCTCCAGGTCTATGGAGTACCAGTCTTTTGGGTTCAACACACCGCTGGTTAGTGGAGCTTCAACTAGACAGAATGCGGGGAAGGGTATTTTTGTTTAGCTTAGCCTCAGAGAATGCAAAATGAGACAGAAAACAAAGTTATTTCCCAGCAGAAAGATAAGAAGAACATTGTTGCATTAAGTTGCCTTCATATGGGGGAAAAGCAAATCTCGGTGATGGAAATTATGACTTGCTTGACAGTAAATGAAACCCGGTAGGTAGATTTTTATAATTAGAATGTCGTTGTATATGAGCACAATCAATCTATATACACTGACATTCTATAATTAGAATGTCAGTGTATATAGGCACTGACTCCATGGATGCTCCGAGGCTGGAGCACCTATGGGGAAAAATCAGTGGGTGCTGAGCATCCACTGGCAGCCAATCTTCCCCTCTGGTCCCCTTCTCCCCACCCTATCCTGCTGGTGGCCCTGGGCCACCCCTCTCCCCCTCCCCAGTGTTTTCTGAGTGCTGCAAATAGCTGATTTGTGGTGTTCAGGAAGCCCTAGGAGGGCAGAGGAGGAGTTGTACTGGGGTAAGGAGGTAGGGCAGAGTGGGGAAGAAAAGAGACTGGACAGGGGCAAGGGTTTGGGGGAAGGGTGGAATGAGGATAGAGCAGGGATGGGGTTTGGGGAAAGGGGATGAGACAGGGCCAGAGCAGGGGTTGGAAAAGGCAGGCCAGGGAGCCTGGGGGAAGAGGAGGCAGGAGTCCAGCATGCAGTAGCCCCCCCAGCTAGAAGGGAAATCGATGTCTGTATATCCAGGAATGATGGAAAAGGGAAGACATACTGTTCCATATGCCAAAGTTAAGTACAGGCCAGAAAAATACAATGGAGAAATCAGTGGGATAATTCCCTGGGTTAAAAATAAAACCCCAAAATCAAAACAAAACTAAACAAAAAACCCCACAAGGAATGAAAAGCAATAAAGAAGCTGCAGTGGAAATCTAATACAGATCACCAGAAATCTACACAATGGGAATGATAAATAGCTGCCTCAAACTTCAAGGTTCTTGGGTCACAGGGTATTCACTTAGGGACTCTTAATGCCTTGAGAGCTACAGGGTTACCTACCAAACCAAACATGTCATCAAGCAGATTCCTAAGTAGGGATTAGCCACTTCCTGATTGAGAAATCAGTGATTCCAACAAATGAAGAAGCCACTTTCAATCTGATCCTCTTGAGAATGGGAAAATAATAAGGAAGCTGGATATCAGCTACTTACATCCATCACAAGGCCTGGGATATCAAAAACAATAGATCAGAAGAATTACATTTTGAGAAAGCAAAGTTTGCGGGAAATTAAGCAGTAAAGTGGCAGCGCCGCACTGAGCCCGGGGTCAGCTGGAGACTCCCCAGTTGATCCTGGTTCCACCTGGCATGTCAAAGTGGCTGCACCGCACTGAGCCCGGTGCTGCCGCTTTGAAATGCAGGGGGAGCCAGCTCTTTATTGCTCTTTATTGCTTTATTGCTCTTGGCTATGCCACTGTAAACCAGGAGTAATCCCAACAAAGTCCATGGAGCTATTGGGGCATAAAGCTGCTCTAAACAAGAGCCAAATTAGATCTGTAGGGTCTGATTCATTGTTGGTACTGACACACTGCCATCTTCTCTAATTTCAAGCACCAGCACATGTATTTGGGACAATATGTGCCTTTATCTGGACTAAAGGATGGATCCAAGCTCCATTGAAATCAATGGAATGGTTCCTAATATTTTCTTTCACTCCAGTGGTACTGAGTCATGGTCTGAAAAAAAGAACCCTTCCCCACTATTTTTGTAGGTATTGGAAGTCTTTGAAAAGATCTACCTCATTGCAGTGCTGCCTTCCTGGTATAGCCCAGCAAGTAATAGAAGGGATGAACATTGGTCCAGCCTCAACTCACCAAAGTATAGCCCCTCCAAGCCCTCTGCTGCTGCTGGCAGGACTTTCCAGCTTTTCCACCTTCCCAGCCACTACGCAATGCAGCCAGACACGAGGGTTGTGTGCAGCATGGCTACACGGGGGTTAAGAAGTGTACACCCTATGCATATACAGATGCTCTCGCTCTCTCTCTTTCCCCTTCATCTAGCTCCCCTGCGCAGGGCTCATTGTAATCTGGCCGATGGTGTGTATTGAACCTGTTTTAGTAGCGTGTGCTGTAAATGATGCAGAAACTGTAATCATTTAGCCAGCTTTAAAATGCTTGAAGAAGTTTGTTTGGTTTTTTTTAAGTCCATTGCTCCCAGAAAGTTTAATTACAATGCTCAGTCCATTTCTAAGTGATTGTGGGAAATCCTCACACTTCTCCACAGAGACAACAATGGAAGTCAGATTTTTTGCCACTTTTACAGGCACATACTTATGAAC